GCCGGAACCACTGAGCTAAATCCCTGGCCCTTTTTTTTTTTTTTTTTTGGCACGAGGGGGATCAAAATCAGAACCTTATGCTTGTGAGGCAGGTGCGGTGCCACTGAGATAAATCCCCAGGCCTTGTTCATTGTTAATGTACAGAAACACAAGTAATTGTTGCATTTTGATTTTTCAACTTTGTGAATTTATTAGGTCTGAAATTGGGGGTGTTGGTGGAATCCCCCAAATTTTCTATTTATTTATTTTTTTAAGGTCTTCAGTTTTCTGCATTGATCTGACTCCTGATTCCTTTCTCGTGGGTTTTTGTTTTGCTTTTTGTTTGTTTGTTAAATTAAGTAAACAAATGTGTACCTTTTCCTCTGATGTCTGTAACCATTGTTGTCCAGCCCTACCTGAGAGGCAGGGAAGCTGATTGGAAACGCTCTATGTGCAGAAGATGGACAGAGGGGGTGGATGGCGATTATCTGATGACACACTCAGCCATTGCGAGGAAGCCCTGAGTGTGGATATCCCCATGTCTTTTCTTCTGGGCTGGTCCCTGTCCTCAGGGGGTACTGCTGTAGTCTTATCCTGGCTGGGGAGGTGTGCGAGCTCCACCCTGGAAGGCGAGTAGAGCTGGGGCCAGGAGGTCTCCCTGTTCCAGCAGCCCTGTGTTCAGTCTTAAGCTCCCCTAATTCTGAGTCTCCACACTGCTTGGGCTAGGGGAGCATATCTGCGGCTTTGATGCAGAGTTTCAGCCCATCCTCTTACCACCACCCTGAGATGTTTGGTGTTTGCAATTCCTGGGTTCCCAGGGCTCCTCAGCAGCAGGGGGGTTGATTTTCATTGGCTTTCAGTCTTCTCCGCTGTGCAGAGCTTGTTGCCCTCTTGTCCTTCTTCCTCCCAAACATTACGAGCTCCTCTCAGCCACGGCTATCTTTTTGTCCTTGTCAGTGTCTACCACTTGTTCCTTTACTGTTGCTTTAGCAAGGCTTGAGGGAAGAAAGGGAAATGTTTCTCAATTTGCCGTGTCTTAATGACCACGTGCTCCTTAGTGGCTTTCTGATGGTTCCTAATTGTGCTCAGGATTCATGTATCTGCCGAGCACAGAAGTGCAGGCTGGTGGTCCAACTACTCTGGAGACTGAGGTAGGAGGATTGCTTAAGTGCAGGGGTTAGAGGCCAGACTGGGAAATACAATGAGACCCCGATCTCAAGAACAAAAAGAAAGAAAAGAAAAAAATTCATGTGTCATACTTACTTGGTCTCATTATCATGTGTTCCTGGGAATGTAAAAGTACCTCAATGTATGTTAACTGCCTGATTAATTCATATTTTTTCATGCATTCATTCAGTGATCTTTTTTTCCACCAAATGGAAAAGTTAGACTAACTGCCAAACACTTCTGGTGTGAATATTCTGCCCTGTTAGAAATTATTTAGTTGAGTGAGCTGAGTTCAAAACTAGGCCCTGGAAGGGGGCACAGAGATATATCAGACAGTCTCATTGTGGCCAGTTTCCAAGACGCCCCTCACCCCGAATACGTGCCTTCTTGGTAGTTATGCTATGTAGACTCCCTTCCCACATGGAATAGGACTAATAGTAATGGAGAAGATATTGTGGAAATGACACTGTGATTCTGAGGCTAGGGCATGAAGGACATTGTGGCTTTTGCTTTGTTCTCTCTTAGATCACTCACTGAGGTGGAAACCAGCTACCATGTCATGAGGATGCTCAAGCAGCCCAGTGGAGAAGTACACAGCGGGGAACCAAGCCTCCTGCCAACAGCCAGCACCTATTCGCCATCTTGGTGATCAGGCTGTCCTGCCATCAGATGACAGTGGCCTCAGCTTATAAATAGCCTTTGATCTCATGAGAGACTGAGCCTGAACCTTGTAACTGTGCTGCTTCCAC